AGCATTGTTGAATTCACTTGCCTAAAGATACAGTTAGCAAAACAAAGTTCTAACTGTCACCCAACCCATGCGAATATTGGGCAAAGAGAAATTCTGGCACAGTGTTTTAGGAGAAATAAAAATCCAGGCATGCACATGAGAACTATCAGCTGATTAAAACAAGCCCTGGATGAAGAAGAATGATGATAACACTAATAATAGTGTCCTGGGTTGCAGTGTGGGGGGTACTTAAATTGTACTTCTGATTCAGAGTCTCTCACCGGTTTGCTTTTCAAACCAGCACAAATTTTCATGAAAAGGGGAGAGGAATGAAGCCCAACAGAAGCAGGTGCTGCTCACTGACCTATGCCCAACTGGTCCCACAGCATCAACCAGCAGGTCCCAGCCAACTCCTTCCCCAGTTATACACTGGGCAGGATGTTCTGTGGAATGGAATATCCCTCTGGACAGTTTGGGACAGCTGTCCTGGCCCTGCTCCCCCCTCCCAGCTCCTTGTGCCTCTGCTCACTGTGGCAGAGCCTGGGAAACTGCAAAGTGCTTGATTTAGAGTAAGCACAACTGGGCCAAAACTACTACAGCAGTGTGTTATCAGCATTATTCCCATACTAAATCCAAAACACAGCCCTGGAGCAGCTCCTGGGAGTGAATTAACTCTATCCCTGCCAAAACCAGGACACAGTCACTGATATTTATGCTTTCACGTGCACAAATACATACTCCTTGCACAGCTGTGCCCAAGGACAAGGGATGATTCAGTCTGTCACATGCAGCACGGTGAGAAATCTTCCCCCAGGTGAAGCAGCAGGTGAGGGGCAGCAGTGCAGGTGTGTTCCAGCTCCTACATGCACTGGGGTGATCCAGAGTCAGCTGCATCCAGCAACAGGAACTCACCACATTCCATGGTCCTCTCACTCCACACAAGGCTCTGTGGTGATGGACACTGAGCAAGATTCCATTTCTCTCTGCTGCTTCAGCTCTCAGACTCTTCACACTCCCCTAGGGAAAAGCATATTTGGTTTAGGTTTGGGATGGATATCAGGACAAGGTTCTTCCCCCAGAGGTGTTTGGGCACTGGGACAGGGTCAGGTTGGAGATCAGGACAAGGTTCTTCCCCCTGAGGTGTTTGGGCACTGAACAGCTCCCCAGGGCAGTGGGCATAGCCCCAAGGCTGACAGAGCTCCAGGAGTGTTTGCCCAATGCTCTCAGGGTGCATTGTTGGGGTGTCTGTGCAGAGTTGGATTTGCTCCTTGTGGGTCCCTTCCAGCTCAGGATATTCCATGATTCTTGATGAAACCACTCTCTGCACAATATTCACAACAGGTTAAGCAAATACATTTAAAATGTGTGAGATCTTCACCACTTCTCCAAAGACCAAAATGAAGAAGCTGATGCTGAAGGCCAGGACAAATTCTGCCTCCTTAATGCTCCTGCAATTTCCAAGATAATTGGGGTAAAGCTGATCAAACTCCAGGATTGGGGAGTGCAAAGGAGACCTGTGTCTCTGGGGAAGCAAGAGCAGAGGTCTCAGCAATGCCCTGAGATGAGGAGACACATTTAGCAGGCCCAGAAGACATCTCCTCTCTCACCTACCATAACCCAACCAGCACCACATTACCCCACCCCACTACCTCAGCTATGAGGCAAGAGAGCAGGAGCAGAGGGAGGAGCAGCCAGGCATGTAGAAAACCATCCTGCAGCCTGAAAAGCAGCAGAAAGGTGAACTGGAACACTGGGAGAGCAGCCAGAAACCATCAGGATGTTCCCTGCAGTGAGGGCAAAGTGTCTGGGGCTCAGGGCAGGAACCTGCCACCACCTGCCCTTATGGGAGGTTAGGTAAGCTGCTGGATGGGGCTGGGGAACACAGGTGAGCTGCTGGAAGGGGAGAAGGAGCTGGGAACCCTCAAGGTTGTGCTGTTGAAGGGGCTGGGGAACCCTCGAAGTTGAGCTGTTGGAAGGGGAGAAGGGGCTGGGGAACCCTCAAGGTTGAGCTGTTGGAAGGGGAGGGGAGAAGGAGGAACCCTCAAGGTTGTGCTGTTGGAAGGGAAGAAGGGGCTGGGGAACCCTCAAAGTTGAGCTGTTGGAAGGGGAGAAGGAGCTGAGGAACACAGGTGAGCTGCTGGAAGGGGAGCAGGGTCTGGAGAACCCTCAAGGTTGAGCTGTTGGAAGGGGAAAAGGAGAGAGGGAACCCTCAAGGTGAGCAGGGCAGGCACAGGAGACAGGAGTCCTGTCACTGCTGATGCAGGGGGAGGGCAGCAGAGAGCTGCTGCCCTGAACCAGGACAGGACTTTGAAGACCTGGAGGGCCCAGGAAGGTTGGTTGGGAAGCAGGAGCTGGGCTGAAGCTTTTGGGACTCACTGGAGAATTGCTTTCAGAAGGCCACGACCCTTTGAGGGTTGTTGCCTTCAGAGATGGTCACACAAAGTCTGGTGAAAGAGGCTAACAGGTGGGTAGGGCAGGATCCAGCAAGGACAGGATCCAGCCAGGAGTCTTCTGTCACAGCCCTGACTCCATCAGTCTGTTCTGGATCCTGACACCCAGAGCTGCTGGACACTCAGCATCCTTCAGACTGTGGATTTGGACAAGGCTGCTGTAAAGAGCATCAAAAGCTGCTGCAATGAGCACCAACAGCTGCTGCAATGCAAGAAGCTGGAGCATGAAGGGCAAGAAGTGAGGTGATATGACCTGCTGAAACTTCTTCTGTCACTGCTACCCTTAAGGACCACTCAGCCCCAGCAAGGGAAAGTAGTGGAGGAGAGGAGAACAGGAACATGAGGAAGCAGAGTCTCCAGGCAGTGGAGAGATGGGACTGTCAGCAAACCTCTTGAGGGCTTTGCACAGCAATGAATGGCAATGACCAAAACTTGTCCCCTCAGTGGGCTCCAGACAAGCTGCACTGCAGCTCCTTGAACCTCAGAGCTGCTCAAGAAGTTTACTGGGAGCCCAAGGGCTTTGCTTGACTTCCCAGAGGAACACAATCAAAGCAACACATGCCTCACCCCTGAATCATCTCTTCTCGTGCCTGTGCCTGCCCCAGGGAAGGTGACCAGGCATCCTGGCAGGTAACTAATGGAGTAAATGCTGTGGCAGATCAGCAAGAGCATTTCCGTTGCAGATGGGGAACTCCAGTGTCACATGTGGCCTCTGGTCCCCAAAGGGACAATGCTAAGCTGTGACACACCACAGAGCAGGGAAAGGAATCACTCCTAACAGCAGCTCATAAAATCATACAGTGTTAAGGGGTTGGGATGGAGCTTAGAGATCATCCAGCCCCAATCCCCTGCCCTGGGCAGGGACACCTCCCACCAGAGCAGGTTGCTCAAGGTTTTATCCAACCTGGAATGAAACACTGCCAGGGTTGGAGCAGCCACAGCCTCCCTGGGCAACCTGTGTCAGGGTCTCACCACCCTCACAGGGAAAACTTCTG